ACCGACCCGCTCATGTACCAACTGTGTGTTTGAAACAGTTCTACCGATTTTTTACCGCACTTCAGTTGTTATTTGAAGGAAGGCATCCAGTCGTAGGTTTGGAAATTGCAACTATTGTTTACCCCTACCACGATATGTGCTCCTGTCATCGTCGACTTGACGATCTCGAGGGGACACGGGTGGGGTAGGTGTTGCTACTGTACCTTTCGACCATTGACAGTAATTGATGGTATGCTCCCATCCAGAGTTATGTACTTTGACTATATGTTTTTAGTATTACTTCTACGTGAAGTTAACGATTTACATAGTTGAAGATGCTAATTTCAAATAACAGACTGTAGTGGTAATTTTTATACGATAGATGGAGTAGATGAAAGCATGCATGTAAAAATTACCACTACAGTCTGTTATTTGAAATTAGCATCTTCAACTATGTAAATCGTTGACTTCACGTAGAAGTAATACTAAAAACATATAGTCAAAGTAAATAATTTCATGTCTGATTTTTAATTGTATAGAGTTTTTGATCTAATATCTGACCTACTAAGCATAAACCACTTTTAACCTCCCTTTTTCGAACGGATATGAACCCAAAAATGGAGTGATTCTACTATAGATTTAAAATTTATTTACCTTTATATTAGTACCTTTGGATTTGATAAACAATCACTCATTGTTGAGATATTGCTAGAAATCTAACACTGCTTCTTGATTCCAAATTCGTTTTACGAGTTTCAATTCCATCCTATCGCATTTAAACGCCATTGGTTTTGCTAGGATTTTCTTCGTTCTACGAATGAAGGCAGAACAAATGGATTTGCTAGAAGCGCTTCTTTTGTTTTGATAACAATAAGTATAAATATTCATTCAATGCACTCGAATAGGCTTTGTTTTGTAACTTATGAGCTAACGCATCAAAGCAAACGAATTATTGATTTATTGATTTATGCACGGTGAAATTCTTGATATTATTCTTGTTTTCTGCTCAATAGAACGGAAATGGGCGATTACGACGAAGCAGCGCTCTACCCTACATAGATTTCAGCTTTTCTAAGAATGTAGCAGCAACCAGATTAAAAAATGATCATTTTGCAAAATTACAAACGTTTACTTGTATTTCTTTTCTACTGTGATGGTATTGGTGTTATCGAGAATATCATAAATCATGAAAAATATCACAATATTTTATCATACATCATACATATTTTTTTCAAATTTTGATGGGTGAGTAGTATTCAAATCATGCTGCTTAATTGGCGTCTTGCAGTGAAACTTTTCCAAGCTTTCGCCACCTACATTTCGAAGGAAGAACTACTAGAAGGAGGATAGTTTCCAAATTTCCCAAGTAAAACAGACGATTTTTGGGGCAAATCGGTCCATAAAGAAAAACTAATAATTTTCCGTGGAAACTTTTGCTTGAATCGTGTAAGAAAACGTGCAATTTACTTCTGTGTACATCATATTTACGATGCAGCATTGATGGAGCCACGAAATTAAATGAATATATCTTATGAAAGTTCAACTGGAAAAGTCAAAGATGCACATCAGTCTGATCGTAAAAACGTTTTCTTCTTCGATTCGAATGTTATATTGTAAGGATTTTACACAGGCTTGATGAAAATTATGATTTAACGCTAATTTTCACGAATTTTATATGCAGTCTGTCAACATTATCATCATCATGCAGTGGCGACATCTGCGTTGAGCTTTTACGGCAATCTTTCAATAGCTACTACTCAAATCATTATAATTAATTCATCTACATTGGGCACACTAATTTTCACGAATTTTATATGCAGTCTGTCAACATTATCATCATCATGCAGTGGCGACATCTGCGTTGAGCTTTTACGGCCATCTTCCAATAGGAAAGGTACTACTTTCTAAGCAAGATTATCAATTCTTCAGTCAATAAGCCGTATGAATTAAACAAGCTTACGGAGTGAGTAAAGTAAATTCTTATATTCATTTGACCAAATCACACAATTAGAGCATATTAATACAACGCTCTCGTTTTCGTTCTATTGAGATAATCTGAAATTTCTACTGGGATCAGTGTCTGTTTTTATCATTTACCATCATGCGCAAGGAATAGCGCTTCAACCCAATGTAGATGAATTAATTATATGATTTGAGTAGTAGCTATTGGAAGATTGCCGTAAAAGCTCGACGCAGATGTCGCCACTGCATGATGATGATAATGTTGACAGACTGCATATAAAATTCGTGAAAATTTGCATTAAATCATAATTTTCATCAAGCCTGCGTAAAATCCTTCTAATATAACATTCGAATTGAAGAAGAAAATGTTTTCACGATCAGACTGATGTGCATTTTTGACTTTTCCAGATGAACTTTCATTAGATATATTCATTTCATTTCACGGCTCCATCAATGCTGCATCGTACGTATGATGTAAACAGAAGTAAATTGCTCAATTACTCAAAGTAAAGATGATTTGAAACTTGTTATGCATAATTTTCCATGAAAACATCTCCGATCCATACCGAAATAATAACAGTTAGCTTGCAAACACGTTTTCTTACACGATTCAAGCAGAAATTACCACGGGAAATTATGAGTTTTTCTTTATGGACTGATTTGCTCCAAAAATCGTCTGTTTTAATTGGAGAATTTGGAAACTATCCTCCTTCTAGTAGTTCTCATTTCGTAATGTAGGTGGCGAAAGCTTGGAAAAGTTTCACTGCAAGACACCTATACTGAAGATCCGAGAGATGTCGAACCTTCAGTGGTAGGAAAATCATTTTTGCAGTATGGAGAATATCAGAAAATCCACGATTTGTGACTAAACATGCTTTCGAAGAAGGAAACAAATAAACGAGTGTTTACCTTATCACCATAGTAATGTACTCGTGCAATTTTTGTACACCTAAAACTGCCCATAAAGACGATAATGAATAAAAACTGAAAATTTTCATGCATTTCCAAATGGTTTCCTACCATTCCCATACATTCGAAAGTGACTGGCCCTCTGGATGTGGATGATGTCAAAAACAACATAACATGATTAATTGCGTTCTTTTTGAATATCTTCGCTGTGAAGTACGAGCAAAACGAACAATTGAGTTCATGGTACATCAACGAATACGCGTTTATTTGTCAAAACCAGAAGCGATCCTCAAAAGCAAAATAATCAAATTAATTTTGGGCAAAATGTTATTTTGAATATTGTCGATTCCAGAGCCTAAAACCTCGATATTATCATCAATTCAGCATGAGGCAATAATTTTTCATCAATCTCTGTATAAAAACCAACACAACACGTTCTACAGCGCTGGATTTGTGTATTATGAAAATAATCATTTTGCATTTGATCCTCAAAATTATCCCCATCAAGATGAAGATGAATATTGATATTGACAACAACACAGGCGATAATAAACTTTCAGCCACGAATGAACAATATTGACTTCGATACTCACACAAATATTGACTTCGATACTCAGAGGTTGCCTTGATGAAGAGAATGTGTTTATGCCAAAATTCAAATTCATGCAGGTAGTTGGTCTATCCGTTAAGGTTGTCTTCATTTTCAGCTAAGTTGAGTGTACAAGGAATGAATTTTATCAGCACTGGTTGGGATTATACAGATTCTTTCTTGAGATTATTTAACATCTATGTCTTAGTGAGAGGGGACCATAGCCTACTCAGTAAAGGCACGGTATTACCAAGCCGGAGGTGGTGGGTTAGATTCCCGGTGCGGTCGAGGGAATCTTTCGGGTTGGAAATTTTCTCGACTTCCATGGGCATAGAGTATCATTATGCTTGCCACACAATATACAAATTCATGCATTGGTATTGGCATGGAAAGCTCTCAGTTAATAACTGTAGAAGTGCATTTAGAACACAAAGTTGAGAGCACGCAATGTCCTAGATGATGAACTTTCACAGTTATTAATTGAAAGCTTTCGATGCCGGTACCATTTTTGCATCAGTTAATTTGTGTGGAAAGTTCAATCATACTCTATGCCCAGGGAAGTCGAGAAATTTTCCTACCCCAAAAAATTCCTAGACCGTACCGGTATTTGAACCCAGCCACCTCCAGCATGGTCTTGCTTTGTAGTTGCGCCTTTACCGACTGAGCTAAGGGAGGACAAGCTGTGATATCGTAGCTACAAATATCAAGCTAACAAAACTCATTAGCTCCAAATCTAACCAAACCGTGAAGATTTGGGAAGTGCGAGTTATTAACGGCTTCAAGAGCGATTTGAAGAGCGATTATTAACAGTTGCGTAACGTTACAACGTTTTGCTCTACTTACACTACAACTACTCAACAGCTACGCACCAAAACCTGTTGAACTACTCAAATTAGAAACTTTTGAACAATTCTTGTAGGAAATTCAACGCACTTTCCAAATCTGCCAATATATTTGGGAGGTCCTTTTAATTTTTTGTGAATTTGTGATAAAACTGATGAACTGACTTGATTTCAGTAATAAAACTGCAAAAATTGACCAAATCACCACGTAGATTGTGTCAGATATTGACAGTATAGAAAATAATAAAAGTTCTTTCGATATAAGCCATTCCTTGATAATCTTGATTTCCTAAAGTCAGATTAAAAATAGGATTAATAATAGGTAGAGTATTCTGTACGATTTAATCGAAGGCGAAACAATACATAACTAAAACGGGAAAAGATGCCGGTGATTGTGGGATTTAAAATAAATGTATTAAATTAACCATGAGTGTAGAACAACGAATTAGTTTCTGAAAATTACGATCTATTATATAGAAATTCAATGAACATTTTTTTTTATTTCAATCATATTTCTGACCCCGACCAGTCTAACGTCACACACATTCACCGGGTGCTGTGGTAACCGCCTGTCGGCCTGTCTGCCTGTCCGTCTGTCTTCCCGCTTGGAGCGTATCCACCTTCTCTATAGCGTCCAAATGGATACTTACACACACACGCATCACGCACCAACCGACCCAGGGTCGGGAAAATTCATACTTTTCCGCTTCAATTTTATTTTGTACTCCGCCAAGTGAACAAGTCGCGTTCGTTTTTTGGTCTCACGATTTCTTTTCCTTTCCGTTTCGTTTCGTTTTGTTCGTTCGGTTGTTTTCAATTTTCCCAACTTTTCGCGTTCATTTCGCTATAGTTTTTTCTTTCGTTTGCGTTTCTTTGGAAAATACGGTGCGTGTGTCAAACTCCGGAAGTCTGCTTGTCATCAACTGACGAATTCCAATCAAAAAGAAAAACAAGAAGGAGAAGAGATAAAACAGCAAGCCTGGATTAGGAGTTTGGCGCAAATCGCGTGTGTTCATTTCGACAAAAGTGAGTGAGCGGAAAAGTTTAAAAATATCGAAGCGAATATTTTTGCCCCCTTTTCGGGACAGAAGTGTGATTTACGGCACGTTTCCATTGAAAAGGTGTCTTTTGCACGAGCAAGTAATAATTTTCCGACGGAATTCGGGGTAATCGGTGAAGTGTATGTTATGTAAAGTCGAATTCGACACCCCGTGAGAGTGTGATAAAAAGGAGCAAAAGTGTCGAACGCCGAAGACGCCGTCGTCGTACGTGAAATGAGTGCAAATATTATTTAGAAGAGCAAGCAGTTGGAATATTCGGCGGCTAAAAATAGCATTATCCATTACTTTTGTTTGAGACTTGTTTATTTTTGTAGGTGAGTTTTATTTTTATCATACATTGGGGATTTTCGCTGCCGAGAAGAATTTTTCGGCGGAAAATCTGTGAAAAGTGTGCTATACTAGTGGTGGAGCCATGTAGCGGTAGCGTTGTGAGAGTTTACATTTATACGCTCTACACATGAAGCGGATTTGGTTGGGTGTAATCAGCTTGATGATGCCACGTGAGAACAGCTGTTGGTATTTTGAAGTTTTTTTTTTTATTGGGGTGAAGATTGAGGGGGTCGATTTTTCTTCATAACTTACTTGCAACCCCTTTGCAATCCCCTTGGATATATTCTCGAAATTCTATTCCTTTGGCTTCCAGGAATTCACTTGGAACTCTCTTCAGAATTCCTTTGAAGCTATCCTGTAAATTTTTTTGAATTCTTTCTTGGATTCTGCCTTTGGAACAATCCCGAAAATTTGGAAACTCAAAAATTCAGATTTCACTTCAAAATTGAGAAATGTTGCATACACCGAGGATGATCTTGAAACTAGGAAAAATGGGTTAGTCTTCTATGTGATTCCCAGTGGTTAAGTCTACGGCAGTGTTTCTCAATCTATGGGTCACGACCCACCGATGGGTCACGGAAATTCAGACAAATAGATCAAAAGTGTTGAACATTTCTTCCGCTAGTTTAAATCTCTTAACGGAATCTTACTTCCTTAAATATATTGGTAACCTCAAATCTTTAACGACATTTTTTCGATGAATTTATTAATTTCTGTTGGCGTTTTTAGGGCTGTTCTATTTAATTTCAAGATTATTTTTGTGTTTTCAGGTCAATTCGGAAATATTAAGGCCATTTCAACATTTTAAAGCCAGTTTGGAAAGATTTTTTTTTGACTTCAGCGGGTCATTAAACCTTTTTGGCATTTTTCTATACTATTTTGGTAATTCTAGGCTAATTCTGCCGTTGTGAGGGAAATATAACAAATGTTTTTACGAAGTATCTTTTTCAAGAATCTAAGGAAGAATAGAATTACAGTGCTGTGTTCCTAAATTTGAGCTATGTAGTCGCACCCAACCCACCCTGCGCCCGCCCCTGACGTTGATGACGTTGTTTCAAATAGTGTATTGTCTAGTTGATATGGTACTTTGCAAAACACGATGAGCAGCACCATACTCTACAGGTGGCGAAAGTGGCATTAAGTTCGTTGAACATCTACAAAGTCCCTTTATCATTCTTGAAATTATTCTTAATTTCTGAATGTTCCGTCTAATTTTCCAAGCACCATCATTTCTGTTTTCTTATTTATCTCATATCATACTCGATTTTCTCCTAAGGGGGGAGGTAGCTCACCGATTCTTCCGGTTCGCCTCCTAGCATCGTGCTATAAGGTACCAGGCGATAACCAGGGTAGTTGATCGATAGCTCGATGACGTCATTTCGTTGGCGTCTGCAATGGGAAATTCTCATAGCAGGCGTTGACGATGGGACGTTGTCGAGTTGTTGAATAGCAACTATCGTGGTAACTCACCGATTACCTGTCGATCTGCCAAATTTGGAAAGACGTCTGCATTGAATTGTCTCATATAATAATATTCCGCCCACTATATCACAAGAAATTGCGAGTAGCTGAGTGGAATGGAGATAAGTTAAGCATTGGGTACAGGACCAAGTCTCCCCTGGGTGGTTCCAGAAGATGAGCGCAATAGAACCATCAAGTTGCCATAAGGCACGGAATGAGACTATTGCATGGCTGGGTAGTCAAAGTCTTCCATTCGTTAGTCATTTCAGGTGGATTAGAACAGGTTTAGGTTTAGGGTGGGCGTTGGCCAGATTTGGATTTTTCAGATATAATCCTAAATAGGACCTAGATTATTTAATACACTAGTAACCTCAACTTCTGTCACAATGATTCATTGTGACTAATCAACACTCAATGGGTAAAATATCAAATTTGCGGTAAATTTGAAAAAAAAAGGTAACTTGGAGTGTAGAGCGCACTGCCCACTGGACGATTCTAAAGCCTGACCAACATATATAGATACATTCATACCATTGGCATTTTGTATTTGAGATAAGACAGAGACAGGATGCGGAGGGCCCGCTTAGGGGGAGCGTAACCCATGTTATGGCTTCCATTTATTAAATAGTTCAGATAGGCTGGAAATGATAGGTTCATGTTGAGAAAATGTACCATATGGTGCCCGTTCACTGATCAAAATTAAATTAGATTCAAATCGTCAGGCCCTGCCCTGTAATAAGGGGATTGACGATGATTTGTCAAGTTTCATTTTGCATTTGCATATAATTGTAAGTTTAGGTTTGCTTTTGTAATTGTAAGATAGATAGTTTGCCTCAATTGAAACATTGAGTTGTATAAACTTGACGAATCATACCTCTAAAATAGTAGTAGTTACAGTGCCGCATTATCTAACAACCACTGCCTGCAACTAATGTTGGAGGGGTCAGCAGGGCTGATTACGGATCAAAACTAACATAACTCTAACACTGAAATGATCCCGAAACTAACGCTCATTCATTGCACTTTGAGTCATAAAGTAGTTTTATTTATTTTCCTACTAATCTATCTACACACTTAGTTTTTTCTACCGAGCTCGGCTGTGCGGGTCTCGGCAGGGATGGTTTCGCTGAGATCTCGGCGGGAGTGACATTTGATTGAGGTCTCGGATAATGCCTTTTCTAATAATCTGCCTACGTTTCTTTCCATTGTTATCTACTTTATCCCCTTTTTATTTTTCTGCTCTTCTTTCCTCTTCTCTTCTTTTGTTTTGTTTGTTTACATATAACTAATACTAATACCTCCTTGTTTTCTCTCTAATTTGTCTACTATGTCCCACCATCACGATGAGAGATGAGCTACCGTACATGGTACACGCTCATATACACTCCCAAAATAGTATGCCGCAAGTAAGTATATCACAGAGGCAACTAAAGATCCAGAAACGAAAACCGATAACGCTGGAGATAATGAGCTGTGGTGATTTATATGACTAAATAGTATTATTTATTTATACTAACCTAAACACAACGTGGGGTGACCCAAATCCAAACGATCACTAACCAAAATAATAGACTTATCTTTTTTCAGCAGCACTACACCAGCCAGCAAAGTTCAACAATCCATCGTTGCTTATGCCTTTGTTGTCGTTTGGAACCAGTTTTGCGAGGTAGGCGACGATTGTGCGTATTTCTCGCGTAACTTTTGAAAAGAGCCTATTTATAGCCTGAACAATACGTAAAGAGCAAATTGAAACATTGAACGTCGCGTGAAAGTGGAACTTAATGAAGGCCTAAGTACTTTTTCGTAGTTTTTAGTTTTCGGATTTGAAAGATCGTCGGTTACAGTGGCCTGCTTACTGAGCAGAAAAACGTGGTCCCAGGTCCTTACATATCAAAGAGATTTATGGTAAAATCGCTTGTGTATCGTGTATTTTGCGAAACTCGTTGTTGTCGTTGGTTCCGGGTTTGAATGGATACAAAAATTTGATCAACGGTATTATGTGATATGAGGGGCTCGGTGGCCTTAGAGCAACCGTTTTTGCTTACTGAGCAGAACATCATAAGTCTAATCTCAGGCCCATCCACATTCAAGATTCGTCAATCGTTTTATTTGTTAATATGACTATTTACATGGTAATAACAGCAACTCGGTGATTAAAAAGGTGCTCGTCTGCCTAGTGGCAAACGTTTTTGCTTACTGAGCAGAAGACCGTGGGTTTAGTCCCAAGCTCCTTCGCGTTATATGATCGTTAGGACATCAATTCAGCTTATCGTTTACCAAAACGAACCCTGCTGCAAACCCAACCCTCTTATCCAACATCCCAGTGATTCCTCGTGGAAGTGCAGAGGTGTTCTCGGCTTCTATCAAAGCGAGTGTTATGTCAACACAATCCTTCCCATTCCTTTCTTGACCTGTGTTCGGGCGCGGCCAGCGCTGGTATTGCCTAATTTAAGATCACCAGTTTTTACACATTGAGGATGATTGCTAGTCCCAAGCATCGTCTATTGGTTCTCTGTGTAATTACAGCTGATCTGGCAATAACAGAGTAGCAACCGTGGGCGGTCAATCAAGCTCAAGCTCAAGCTCAAGCTCATACTCGATTTTCTCCTAATTTCAGGAAAATCGTGATTCATTTCTAGAAATTTTCCATGGGCAAAACAAAGTTCTGAGAAAAAAAAAACTACGAAAATCATTGAAATAACCTTCAGAGATGTTTGTGATGTTACCGTTGAAAACCTTAATAGGCAATACGATTACTGACTCAGTGCCAGGTTTTTCCGTTTATATCAGTTTCTTATTTTAAACGTTCCCACGAGCTCGTGGGAGTAGCCACTGTTTGGCATTACTGCCGAAAGTGTCTAATCAGTCCAGAAAATGTAACACTTTTGGAAGCTTGGGTCTATCCTTGGGGGATTCAATATTATAACAACTGAACTCAAGCTTTTCTGAAGTTATTAAGTATTTTGTGAGCTGAATACACGGATACAGTATTTCCAATCTTTTCCGAAGTGATTCAAAACTTTTGCAAAGTTCAGTACTGTTCAAAGTGATTCTGTACGGGCTAAGCTTTCCTGAAATGGTTCAGTACAGTCATCCTTAGCTTGGCCGGTGGTGTTATTGCCTATTGTAAAGTATGAGATCACCAGTTTTTACACATTGCAGATGCATGCTAGTCCCATGCATCGTTTGTTGCTTCTCTATGTAATAAAGGTGACCTGGCAGTAACGGAGTATCAACCGCGAGCGGTTAATCCTTCTCATGCTTACTTATGTCTGTAAGTACCGAAGTGCACTTTCTAAAATGAGTTTAAGCTTTTATGCAGTAATTCAGTACTACAATACCGATTCCGTGATTTTCAAAAGTGTTTCCGTACTTTCCGAAGAGATTTCCAACTTTTATGAATGATTCTGTGCTGCACAAAGTGATTCGGATTTTTCTGAAGAGATTCCAAACTATTCTGAAGTGATTCAGTTATTAAAAAGTGATTAAGTTCTTGAGGAAGTGATGGCAAACTTGAAGGAAT